TACTAATGGTTCTCTTTAGATGTTCGAACCCCCACTTGAAATTATCTTTCTTTAGCTATTTCGTTAGTGGTCATGCTATCGTGCGTACACCTTCACAAATTTTTGGTAGTATCTGGTGAGACCTAGGAATCCCCTCGACTCCTTCAAGCTTCTAGGTAAAGTCCAAACCATCATAACCTCATTCTTGGATAGGCCTGTTACTAATCCTGCCATGGTCACCACGTGCGTAAGTTACTCCATTTGTAGCTGTCCAAATGAATATTTCTTTAAATTGGCGTACAACTGGTGCTCTCTCTACTTCTCTAGAGCCGTCCTCCAGGTGCTTCACATGCTTTATCTTTGTATGACTATATATCAGAATGTCATTGAAGAAAACCAGGATAAATTTTCTAATGTGTTGGTGAGAGCCTGAAATGTGGTTAAGGTGTTGGTGAAGCCAAACAACATCACCAAGAACTCGTAGTCTAGATTCATCCTGATCTGATGATATCCCGAATTAAGATAGATTTTTAAGAAGATGACTGCCTCATAAAGCTCATCTAGCAACTCAATAATCACAAAATTAGAAAACTTATCCAATATCATCTCTTTGTTCAAAGCTCGATAGTCCACGCAGAACTTCCAACTACAATTATTTTTCTTCACCAACAGGATTGGACTGGAGAAAGGGCTCACACTAGGCTGATAATCCCAACCTCAAGCATCTCGTGAATCAACTTCTGTATTTCATCCTTTTGAATCTGAAGACATCGGTATGATTTGACACTGATAGGGGGAAAATCACCTTTAATGTAATAGTGTGCCCTTGCTCCGTCGAAAGTGGTAACCCGCTTGGCGCTAAAAGATGTTTGTAAACTACTGTAAGATTTGTGTTGGACCCATTCAGGGAACCCTGCCAACTCAAGACCTCAAACCTCCTCAATGCTCTGCAACTCCACCAAGTAGCCCATCCTTGCTTTGATACCAATTTGATAGGATCTAGAATCAAAGACAGCGAACAAACAACAACAAAATTGCTATAGATATTTGGAAAATCTAAAACGATGGTAGCTCTTACGAGAACTAAAAAAAACAAGAAAAATACGATGATAATCTACTATTCAAGAGGATGATCGACTCTCCACAGGCTATAGAAGTCGCTAGGAACACCACAAGAAGAGAAGGAAAACTGCAGCCAAAACAAACATAAAGCAAACCCTAGGTTATTAGTCCAAATATAATCCCCACAAACTCCCCTCCCCCAACCCCCCCCCAAAGAGCCACCAAAGTTTGAATTTTCCCTCCTTGCATATGTGATCACAGGTCTCGTGGGCCCTCTTGTTCATTGGATCCTTCAGTCGCTGCTCCTTGCTGTGCCCCCCCTTCCTGCTG